TGATCTCTCCGGGAGGGCGAGGAGCCGCACTGAGCTGCGGCCCCAGCCTCCCGCACCTTTGGGACAAGGAACCGGCTTCCCGCCGGTCCGGGGGATGCTTTTCCTGCAGCTGCAGGTACTGGCGGGCCGGGGGAATGTTCTCTGTCCCTTTCACCATCCTCCCGTGCAATCCCAACACTTCTGCCCGTTTCCATGGCTCTGGGGTCACAGGCGCAGCCCTGGTACTGGCAGGAGACCCCGACCCCCGTGGGCTGCACCGGAGGTGCTCGGGGAGCTCCGAGTTCCCCGTCCCGCAGCCGGGTTCCGTCCTGGAAGTGTCTACGAATTCCCCCTGCGGCTGGGAGAGACCCGGGCAGCCCGAGCCCGCCCCGGGCGCGTTCCCCGGCGGGGTTTGCCTCGGCGGTCAGGGCCGGGGCCGCTGCGGGTGCGCCGGGCTGCCGGGACGCTCCCGGGCCCCGAGGCACCGGCGCTGCCCGGTCTCGCAGCGCCCCCGGCCGGCGGAGCGGGTCCGGTCAGTCCCGGGAGCCCCGGGCTGATGGATGGGCGGGGCCGCCGCGGCCCGCTTGCCCCGGTGGTGCGGAACTGTCACGGGTGGAAAACGCGAGACTGGAAATACCCCGGAGCCCCAGAGGTCCCCCTGCCCCGAGCAGGAGCTGCAAATCCGGTCCCTGCTCGGGCACCCGGAGCGGGCGGGGAACGGACCGCAGCGGCCCCGGGGCTCGGGGAGCGCCTGTCCCCAGCCTGCCCGGGACATCCCTGCTCCAAGGGGTCCAGACCCGCCCGCGGAACCAGCCCCGCTCCGCTCGGCGGCCGGTAACCGACCAGGCCCGGCCCCCGCCGCCGGCACCGCCCAGCGCCGCGGGGCCGTGAGAGGCGGGACCGTACCGGGAGAGGCGGGACCGGCACAGGGGCAGGCAGCGGCGATGGCGGTGCGGCGGGGGCCGGAACCGGGACCTGGACCGGGACTGGGTCCGGTACCGGGGCTGGCGCTGCCGTTCCTGCTGCTGCTGGCGGCGACGGCGGGGCGAGCGGGGGACGCGCGGCAGGAGGAGGCGGTGCGGGCGCTGGCGCGGCGCCTGCTCGGCCCACGGGCCGCCGCCGTGTCGCTGTCGGTGGACCCGGCGCTGGCGGCTGGCGGGCCTGACATCTACCGGCTGTGGTCACCTCCCGGCGCCACCGTGGCCGTCGCCGTAGCGGGCTCCAGCGGCGTGGCGGCGGCCGCCGGTCTCTATCGCTACCTGCGAGATTTCTGCGGCTGCCACCTGTCGTGGTCCGGGGCGCAGCTCCGCCTGCCAGACCCGCTGCCTCGGCTGCGGGCCGAGATCCGCGCCGCCGCCCCCGGCAGGTAACGGGGACGCGGGGCCGGGCGCCGCTCACGCCTCGTTAGCGCGGGACAAGGCGCTGTTATGTAATGGGGGCCCGGGGGGCGCGGGGGGCCCGGGCGCAGCCTCCGCCGCTCCCGCAGGTACCGGTACTACCAGAACGTCTGCGCCCAGAGCTACTCCTTCGCCTGGTGGGACTGGGCGCGCTGGGAGCGGGAGATCGACTGGATGGCTCTGAGCGGCATCAACCTGGCACCGGCTTTCGCGGGGCAGGAGGCGGTCTGGCAGCGGGTGAGGAGCGGGGCGAGGGGCGGCGGGGGCCGGGAGGGTGTCGGAACCGGAACCGACAGGATGGCGGTGGCGGGAGCCGTGGGACCGGCTGACCCCCGGCGCCCGACGCAGGTTTACCGCAGCCTGGGGCTGAACCAGTCGGAGATCGACAAGTACTTCACGGGCCCCGCGTTCCTGGCCTGGAACAGGATGGGCAACCTCCGCCGCTGGGCCGGGCCGCTGCCGCCCGCCTGGCACTTCAAGCAGCTCTACCTGCAGGTACCGGGGGCGGCCCAGCCCGCCCGGGGCAAACCCCTGTCACCCCCTGGCCCTCCTGGCCGAGGCTGCCCTCGCTCAGCCTCGGGGAGCCCCCCGCTCCGCCCGAGCTGCAGCAGCGCCCGGGGTGCCCTCGTGGGAACGTGGGGGCTTCTCTCCTTCTGTTCCTTCTCTCCTCTCTCCCAGTACCGCGTCGTGGAGCGGATGCGCTCGCTGGGGATGACCACGGTGCTGCCGGCCTTCGCGGGCCATGTGCCGCAGGGGATCCTTCGGTAGGTGCAGCCCCTGCCCCGGGGGCTCAGCCCTGGGCCCTTCCCGGGGTTGATCTCCTGCAGCACCTTCCTCTGCAGCTTCCCCAGCAGGCTGCCCTGTCCCCACATGGGCACCGTGGTCCTGTCCTCTTCTGCTCCTGATCCCCCTCTCTGCCCTGTGGTGCAGGGTCTTCCCACGTGTGAATGCCACTCGCCTGGGGCACTGGAGCCACTTCGACTGTGCCTACTCATGCATCTACCTGCTGGACCCAGAGGACCCCATGTTCCAGGTGATCGGGACCCTCTTCCTGAAGGAGCTGATCAAGGAGTTTGGCACAGACCATGTCTATAGTGCAGACACCTTCAACGAGATGACCCCCCTCTCCTCCAACCCTGCCTACCTGTCCAGAGTCAGCAACGCCGTTTTCAGGTCGATGACAGGAGGTGGGTCTGTGTGTGGTGCTGGCCTGGCCACAGGGGTCCAGGTGGGATAGCAGGGGCTGGGGGAGGTGGCTGTGGGCCCCATGCAAGCGCAGAACCCATTGGTGCCAGATCCCCAAAACCCCCTTGAGGGGTGGTTAGTGGCCTCAGGGCCTCCTGAGACGCCTGTGGGCCCTACCTGGAGAGGATCTCACTCAGTGCTCTTCTGTTCCCAGCTGACCCCAAGGCGCTGTGGCTGATGCAGGGCTGGCTCTTCCAGCACCAGCCTGACTTCTGGCAGCCAGCACAGGTGCGGGCCCTGCTGCACGGAGTGCCCCTTGGCAGGATGATTGTTCTCGACCTCTTTGCTGAGTCCAAGCCCGTCTACCAGTGGACAGAGTCCTTCTATGGGCAGCCCTTCATCTGGTGCATGTTGCACAACTTCGGAGGCAACCACGGCCTCTTTGGCACTGTGGAGGCCATCAACCACGGCCCCTTCGCAGCTCGACGCTTCCCCAACTCCACCATGGTGGGCACGGGGCTGGTGCCCGAGGGCATTGAGCAGAACGACATGGTGTACGAGCTGATGAACGAGCTGGGCTGGCGGCAGGAGCCCCTCGACCTGCCCAGCTGGGTGACCCGCTACGCCGAGCGCCGCTACGGCGCCCCAAATGCCGCCGCAGCCGGCGCCTGGCGCCTGCTCCTCCGCAGCGTGTACAACTGCACCGGCATCTGCGTCAACCACAACCGCAGCCCCCTGGTGCGCCGGCCCTCGCTGCGCATGGACACGGAGCTCTGGTACAACGCCAGCGACGTGTACGAGGCCTGGCGCCTGCTGCTGAGCGCCGGCGCCGAGCTGGGCTCCAGCCCCACTTTCCTCTACGACCTGGTGGATGTGACACGGCAGGCAGCCCAGCAGCTGGTCAGCGACTACTACCTGAGCATCCGCCAGGCCTTCCAGAGCCACGCGCTGCCGGAGCTGCTGACGGCCGGCGGCGTGCTGGTGTACGACCTGCTGCCAGAGCTGGACAGCCTCCTGTCCAGCCACAGCCTCTTCCTGCTCGGCCGCTGGCTGGAGAGCGCCCGTGCCGTGGCCACCAGTCACCGGGAGGCTGAGCAGTATGAGCTGAATGCCCGGAACCAGGTGACGCTCTGGGGGCCCAGCGGGAACATTCTGGATTATGCCAACAAGCAGCTGGGGGGGCTGGTGCTGGACTACTACGCTGTGCGCTGGAGCCTCTTCGTCTCTGTGCTGGTGGAGAGCCTCAACTCAGGCCGCCCCTTCCACCAGGACCAGTTCAACCAGGCTGTCTTCCAAGTGGAGAGAGGCTTCGTCTACAACAAGAAGCGCTACCCAGCTGTGCCAGCTGGGGACACGATGGAGATCTCCAGGAAGCTGTTCCTCAAATACTACCCCAGCGCCCTGCGGCGCAGCTTGGCTGGGCCTGCGTGACTTTGGGTTCTGCCTCCGGAGCTTCTCCCACAGAGGGTGGACAGAGCCCCTGCACCCTCCCCCATCTGGGCTCCTGGCCTGGTGGCTGTGTCCTGGAAGAGGGGCACAGTGGCCCTGGTGGCCCTCAGCCAGCCTGGATCCACCCCTTCCTCTGCATGGGCAGGATGTGCCCCCAGAGGGGCTGGCACATGGACAAAGGGCTGGCAGATGGGTGGGGGGAGGCTGTGCCCCATCCAGCACCATGCGTTGTGCTCAGCTCTGCCCAGCTGCCCTGAGCCTGTTCCCAGGAAACCTGGGCTGCCCCAGTGCTCATAGCTGGAAGCTTGGTGGGACACTGGAGAGGGACAGGACAAATGTGTCCCTGCTGTGGGGCCTTGGCTGGCTAGCAGGGGCAGTGATGGGGGAGAAGCAGACAGGGGGTTGGCAGTGGGCAGGGGGCAGAGCAGTGTTGGACCCCAGTCCCTGTGGGTATATGGCACTGCATGGGTCTGCCCACATTTGGTGCCTTTTGTATCTTGAAAGACTTTGCAGCATTGTTGCCTGCAGTGTTGCTGGAGCTGCGCTCCCCAGGACGGAGTTTTTGAGGCCTTTTCCACAGCTGGGCTTGGGCAGAGCCCAGCTATGGAGCAAATACAGACTTTTCTCCCATGTGCGTCCAACTCCTTTTGCTAGCACAGGATTGTGTGGAACATGGGGGCAGAGGAGCAGCTCAGCCCTGAGCCTGCCCAGCAGGAACACCCTGCCAGACGTGTCCTGGCAGCTGGGATGCCTGGCACAGCAAAGTACAGCTGGGGCAGACCCCTGGGGCTGCGGCTGCCCTCGTGCCCCAGAGCCTCCTCCAGCAGGGAGGTCCTGGCTCATGGAGTTTTTATCACAGCACCTGCACGAGGATCAAGGCACAGGGAGCCCCAGGCATGCGCAGGGAGGTGGGTGGAGGGGCCTTGAGATAAAGCAGCAGACACAACACGGTGCCGTGGGGCGGGGGGACCCCTTTCCCAGCCCTCTTAAATGGGGTGGCCCCGTTGGCCAGCACTGGCAGCCATGGAGAGAACCACGGTACTGATCACGGGCTGCTCCTCAGGCATCGGCCTGGGGCTGGCTGCACGCCTGGCAGCCGACACCGCTCGCCGCTTCCAAGGTAAAGGGGTCAGCGCTGCCCCGGGGGCCCGGCAGCCCCAGGTGGTCTCACCGAGGAGAGACAGAGCCTGGGGGTGGGCTGGGGTGGGTGCTGGCCGTGCAGCTTGGTGGCACTGCTGCCCACAGCCACGCTCTCTCCCCAGTTTATGCCACCATGCGTGACCTGGCCAAGGGTGAGCGGCTGCTGGAGCGCCTGGGGGGCTGCTGCCCCGACACGCTGGAGGTCCTGCAGCTCGATGTCACTGACCCCTGCTCGCTGGCAGCTGCTGCACAGCGGGTGCAGGGACAGCGGCTGGATGTGCTGGGTATGGCTCTTCCTGGTGCCCCAGTGTCCCTGGGGTGGCTGAGGGGACCTCTCTGGAGTCACAGCCCTCCTCAGGGCACCAGGAGGAGAAGCTAAATTATGGGAGGTGCAGGCAGTCCTAGGGCTGGGACGTGTTTAGCAAGGCAGAGGTGCAGCAGATGGATTTGGGGTGCCAAGGGCTCATGAGCAGGGAAAGCCCCCCCATTTCTGCCTTCTGGCACTCAGTGGTGTGTGGGGCTGCAGACACTGGCTGACTGCCCTGTGCCCAGCTGACTGCAGCGTGCCTGGCAGTCTGCAATGCAGGGGTGGGACTGATGGGACCGCTGGAGACCTGCTCGGACCAGGCCATGAAAACTCTCTTCGATGTGAACCTCTTTGGGGCTGTCCGCACCATCCAGGCGTTCCTGCCTGCCATGAAGAGCCGCAGGGCCGGGCGGATCATTGTCTCCAGCAGCATCGGGGGGCTGCAAGGTGGGACCCCCAGCACCCTGCGGCACACGGAGCTTCCTGTGAGCGGGGAAGAGCTTTGGTGCTCAGGGTGTGGCTCTGCCCCAGGGCTGCCCTTCAATGCTGTCTACTGTGCCAGCAAGTTTGCAGTGGAGGGGCTGTGCGAGAGTCTGGCCATCGTCCTGCGCCCCTTCAACATCCAGTGAGTGCCGGTGACGCCACGAGGGCTGGCTCCTGCCCACCGGGATGGGGGAATGCCAGGGCGGGGTACGGTGGCAGCTCATGCCTCCCTCCCGCAGCCTGACGCTGGTGGAGTGCGGGCCCGTCCACACCAGCTTCCTGGCCAACCTGCAGCGCCCCGACCCTGAGGGCAGCGAGATGCGGGGCTTGGACGCCGAGACACAGGGGCTGTACCGCCGGTACTTGGGGCACTGTCAGAGCATCTTCCGCGACACGGCCCAGGAGGTGGAGGAGGTCCTGCCGGTCAGTCACCGCGGGGCGGGGTGGCCGTGGGGCCGTGCCAGGGAGGGCTCTGACCCGTCTGCGGTGCCAGGTGTTCCTGGAGGCCATCGGCAGCCCCTGCCCACCCCTTCGCTGCGCCAGCACCCAGCTCCTCGCCCCGCTGTGGCGCCTGCGGCTGAGCAGCCCCGACGGCTCCGCGTACGTCCGCGCCATGCACGACTTCGTGTTCGGCGGCAGCGAGGCCGGCGGGGAGCAGCCCTGAGCGGAGCCACCCCAACACCGGCACCGCTGCCACGCCAACCGCCAGCCCGGGCCCGGGCCCGTTCGCGTGCTCGGTGCCGCCGTGTCCCCAATAAAGCCCTTTGCAGCCGCACGGCTCCGGCTCCGGCTCTGTCCCCGTCACGCCGCGGTCCCGCGGAGCCGCCGGGCTCGTTCGGCGCTGCGGGGCTGCGGGGCGGCCGGTCTGGCCGGTCTCCTCCCGCGGCGGGCGGAGCCGAGCGCGAGGTGCGGCGCTGCCCGGGAGGCGGTGCTGTTCCGGCCGCGCGGCCGGCCCCGTTCCGGTCGGCGGCGCTTCCGGCGGGGCGATGCCGCCCTTCGCCTCGGGGCTGCTGGTGCTGACGGCGCCGCTGCCCGCGCTGCCCCGGCGGGCGGCTGGGCTGGTGGCGGCGGCGGCGGGGCTGGTGGCGGGGCCGCTGTACGTGCATCTGCAGCCGGGGCTGCGGCTGGGCTGCCCCGCCGCCGGCCCCGCCGCTCCGCNCGGTCCCGGCCGCCGCCTGGCACGGCAGCCCCGCGTCCTGCTGGCGGCCGCCGCCGAGGCGCCGGGGCCGCTGGAGCCGGTGCAGCTCGGGCTGCAGCGCCTGGCCGCCGCTCTGTACGGCTGCCCGCCGAGCCTGCCCGCGCTGCTGCTGGGCGAGGACACCGCGGGGGACCCCGAGGGGGACCCCGAGCAGGATCTCGACGCGACGCTCCCCGAATTCCTGGACGTGGCTGTTGGCGGCACCTTCGACCGGCTGCACGGCGCCCACCGGCTCCTGCTCAGCGCCTGCTGCCTCCTGGCCCGGCAGCGGCTCCTGGCCGGCGTGGCCGACGGAGAGCTGCTCCGCCGTGAGTCCGGGGCGGCCGTGGCACTGCGCGGGCACGGGGGCTGAGCCCGGTGCTCCCCGGGACAGGGCATTTGTCTGGGGGCCCAGTAACAAGTGAAGTCGTGGCAGTTACCCACACAAGGTGGTGCCATCCAGGCAGAGTGTCAGTGGGGATCCAGGGGGCACCCGGTGTCCTGCCCACAACCAGCAGGGTGTACAAAGTGTACAAGTGCAGCGAGGGCAAGGGAAGGGGGAGGCAGCGTTCAAAGTCCCATCTCTTGGTCTCTCTTTTCCCCCATCTCTTGGTCTTGCTTTTCCATCACTCTTGTGCTTCTCCGCCCTCCTGGCACCCGGCAGACAAGGTCCTGCCAGAGCTGATCGAGCCGTACGAGCTGCGGGCGGCGAAGCTGCGCGAGTTCTTGGAGGATGTGAAGCCCTCACTGTGCTACGACATCGTGCCTCTGGCCGACCCCTTCGGCCCCTCGGTCACAGACCCCGACCTGCAGTGCCTGGTGGTCAGCGAGGAGACCCGCCAGGGAGGGGTGGCTGTGAACAGGAAGAGACATGAAAACGTAAATCCCACACTGGAGATCCTTGCCCACCCTCTTGCCCTGCCTGATAATGACTGGGGGCAAATTTGGTCTTGATTTGCCCCTTCCCTCTGCTGCATTCTTATGGCTGGGGCTCCCTTCTCTTCATCAGGGGCTCCCCGAGCTGGCTCTGTATGAAATCCAATTGATGAAGGATCCTCACCACACTCAGAACGAGGAGGAGAAGATCAGCTCCTCCAGCCTCCGGCAGAGACTGCTGGGGACGCTGCTGCAGCCCCCACGGGTGAGGGGGGCCTGCAGAGCCACAGCTGCAGTGGGAGTGCCCGGGAGGAGGGGTGGGAGTCTCGGGAGTCCAAGAGTGTGGAGAGGCTGCCTGCTGCTCTGCAGGGCCTTTCGTGGCCACCTCCAGGCTGGGGTTCAGCCCCAGCAAAGCCCAATTCTCCATCTGCTGCCACGGCTTTCCTCTTTCCCTTAGCGAGACCCAGCTCTGCCGCTGCGCCCGTACATTATTGGGCTGACTGGGGGAACCGGGAGTGGGAAAACCTCCATTGCCAAACTCCTGGGGAGCCTGGGCGCGTTCGTCATCGACGCTGACAAGCTGGGCCATGCCGTCTATGTCCCTGGTGGCCCGGCCTACGAGCCAGTGGTGACAGCCTTTGGGGCAGGTAGAGTCACTGGAGGCTGCAGGGAGGAGGAGGGGAGGGAGGGGTGTCCCAATGTCCCAGAGAGCCCTGGCCTGTGCCCCACTCCCTCCCCATGGGTTCTGGGCTCCCCAAGTGTTGTGTGTCCCATGTCAGAGCTGTTGGTGGGGAACGATGAACCAGGCTGCTGTTTGCCTGGAAAAAGCTCTTCCCTGTCCTTTTCAGGAATCAGGTGAAGAGCTGCCAGGTCAGGTGTTTGTGTGTGCTGTTGAGAGCCCTGTGCCAAAGCCCTTTCCCCAACCCAGGCTTGCCACAGGGATGGGAGTTGTCCCTCCCAAACCTGTTGTGCTTCTGCCTTGCAGAGATCCTGAACAAAGATGGAACGATTAACAGGAAAGTCCTCGGGGCCAAAGTGTTTGGAAAGCAGGTAAAAGCAGGTTTATTGTAAATACTTAATGCTGTGAGTGGGAGCTGTTCTCCTGTGCCAGGGGTTTTGCGTTTTCAGCCCTTTGAGATGGTGACACCTTCCTGGTTGTGTTTTCTGGCAGTGGCATGGGGACAGGGTGGGACAGGTCACATCTCTGCAGCTGAATCAGCAGCTGTGCTGGATACATTGCTCTTGTCCTGCAGCTGCTGCTGCCCCCCTGTTCCCACCCCTGTCCCCACTGCCATCCCCATCTCCTCTGTACCATGCTTTTCCTTCACGCAGCTCAGAGCAACAGATCTGACAAACACAGCCAGGGGTCAGTGCCCCTTGTGCCCAGGGGGGCTCAGTGGCACCTGGCCTTTACAGGTGCTCAGCCTGTTGCTCTGCTGCTTCCCCAGCCACGGTGGAGGCACATCAAGAGGTTCCCTGGATGGACATGTCTTTTGTGGGACCTGCTGCACGGGGAGCTTGCTGTGCTGTGGAGCAAAGCACCTCTCACAGCAGAGACAGATCTCTGCTAATAGCAGGGCCCTAATGGCAGGACAAGGAAAATAATAGGAGAAAGCCCCCTGACCCTGGCAGCAGGAATGGGAGCCTCTGGCCAGTGTGAAAACTTTCCTTCCTGGTGTTCAGTGATGGGCTGGACCCCCCTCCCCACTTTCAGTGGCTCCTTCCTGGGTGTCCCTTAACTGCTTACACCCCCGCTCTCCTGGCTGGCTACAGAGGGGTTCTGAGGGCAAGGGACTGCATCTCAAATCCTGCTGTGTCCTTTCTAGGAGCAGCTGAAGAGGCTGACGGATATTGTCTGGCCCAAAATAGCCCAGATGGTGAAGGAGAGGGTCAGGGAGGCTGATGCTCAAGGTAATGAGGGTGGTGGCTCTGTGGCAGTGAAGCGTCAGGAAGGTGGGAGTGAGCCCAGGCTGCTGCCATCCATGGCCAGGCACTGAGGAATGCCCTTGTTCCCTAGGGAAGGCTGTGTGTGTGCTGGACGCTGCTGTGCTGCTGGAGGCCGGCTGGCAGGACATGGTCCATGAGGTGTGGACTGCCATCATCCCGGAGGAGGAGGTGGGCAACACCCTGGGCCCCTCAGTTACTGCCAGGGCTGGTCCTCAGCCTCTCCCAAGCACCTGAGTGTCCCCTGTGTCCCCGCCAGGCCGTGAGGCGCATTGTGGCCAGGGATGGGCTGACCGAGGAGGCCGCTCGCCGCCGGCTGCAGAGCCAGATGAGCAACAGGCAGCGGGTCGAGCAGTCGCAGGTGGTGCTCTGCAGCCTCTGGGAGCCGGACATCACCCGCCAGCAGGTGAGCCGGGGCTGCTGCAGCACCAGCGGCGCTCTGGCTGGTTGTGACGGCAGCTGCAGGGCTCCGTGTGTGCTCAGGCCGTGCCTGGCTGCGCTGTTCACCATCGAGGCTGCCACAACGGGCGGAACTGGGCATGTGGATTCAGCCGGGAGGGAAGAGGCGTGGGACGGTGCTGTGGCGCTCCTGCCCCGAGCCGAGGCGCCGCTCGCCTTCCCGCGGGCTCTGAGGCGCCGGCCGGTTCTGTGGCAGGTGCAGAAGGCCTGGGACCTGCTGCAGCAGCGCTTGAGCCCGGAGCCCGGCCCGTGAGGGCCCAGCCCGTGACGGTCCGTGTCCAGCCACCACTGCCCACCATGAACCGGCGGACGGAGCAGCGTGGGACCGAGACCACCGGCCCCGTCCAGCTCTGGGGAGGCTCCGGGGTGTCCGTCCTGCGGTCCCCCGGTGAGGGGGAACCCTGCAGGGCTGAGCCCCCGTGGGTGACAGTAAAGAGGCTGCTCCTGCAGTGCGTGTCCGTGCGCCGGTCCCGTCCTGTGCCTGCTCCCGTTCTGGGCCCGGGCTCCCGGTGCCCCGTGTGGGACTCCCGGTGCCTGTGTGAGGCTCCCGGTGCCCGTGTGAGACTCCCGGTGCCCGTGTGGGGCTCCCGGTGCCCCGTGTGAGGCTCCCGGTGCCCGTGTGGGACTCCCGGTGCCCCGTGTGAGGCTCCCGGTGCCCCGTGTGGGACTCCCGGTGGGTCACGCCTATGACGTCACTAGCGCGCGGGGTCCCCCTGGCGGCGCGGGGCAGCCGGCTCTCCCCCGCGGTCACATGACCGGGCGGGCGGAAGATGGCGGAGCCGCCGGGCGCCGCCGCCGAGGACTCGTGGGGGAAGGTGGGGCCGGGATCGGGTCGGGCCGGGCCGCCGGGTGCCGCGGGGGCGCAGGGCAGCGCGCCGGGACAGGGCTCATGGCGGCCGGGCAGGGTGAGCGCCGGGCTGTGGGTACGGGGGCGGGGAGCGCGCACGAGTCAGTGCCGGGGCGAGGGGCGGTGGTGGAGGCCCCAGCGGAGCCGCAGCTCGGGGGTGGCGGGTGCTCCTCGGGACGCCCGAGCTCCTGGGGGCGGGGGGGCTCCGGGGCGCGGGCCCGGTCGCCGCCCCAGCCCCGCTGACGTGTCTCCTCCGCCCGCCGGCCCCGCGCAGGTGGACGCGGCCTACGGCGACAATGGCCTGGACTCCGGTAGGTGCCCGGGCGGCGCCCGGCCCCCGCCACCCCCGTTCGTGGGTGGCAGCGGCTGCCCGGGGACGCCCCTCATGTCCCTGCGCCCGGTCACACCCCGCGTTGGGCACTGACCCCGGGACGCTCTAATTCCAGCGCTCTTCATGGAAAATGCCCGGAAAGGCAGCATAGTGTCCCGGGCCAACAGCATCGGCTCCACCAGTGCCTCTTCTGTCCCCAACACAGGTGGGGTTTGCTCTCCGTGACAACGTGTTTCTGCTCGCTGGGGAATCCGGCACGTGCCGGGCTTCAGGTCTGCCCTGCACCGAGGGGGTGAGCGTGGCTGGGCAGGATTCCTGTCCTGAGGAGAAGGAGGAGGAGGAAGGTGGTGGGAATAGCATCAGGGTTCTGTGGTTTCCAGCAGGGTTTGGAGTCGAGAATCACTCTGGTTTTGACATCTTCTCAAGGGAGCTGCCGGCACCTGCCTCCTGCCAGCTCCCTGAGGAGAGGGAAATGTTGTCAGGGCTCCTTGGAAGGCTTTTCTTCTGCCCAGCCTGCTGTAGTTGAATGGGGCAGGGGCTATGCTGGGCCTGGCTGCAGCTGTAGTGGTCCCTTGAGCTGTCTTGTGCCCCTCCTGGTGCCTCTGTGTGCCCACGCTCAGCCACAGCCTGTCCCCACAGACGATGAGGACAGTGACTACCATCAGGAGTCCTCCAAGGAGTCCTACAAGGACCAGCGCCGCCGGGCGCACACCCAGGCCGAGCAGAAGCGCCGAGATGCCATCAAGGTGAGTGAGGCAAGAGGCAGCAGGCAGTGCTGGAGTGCTGCTGCCAGCCTGCTGCAGCACCCTGCTCTCCCAGCACTTGTGTTCTGCTGCTGGATGTGCCGTGGCTCTGCCGGGCTGTGCTGTGGGAGCTGGGTGTGCTCCTGGCCCCACAGGATGAGCCCACACCCTGTGGCTCTGCTTCCCTGCAGAAAGGCTACAATGACTTGCAGGCCATCGTCCCCACCTGTGAGCAGCAGGATTTCTCCATCAGCTCACAGAAGCTGAGCAAGGCCATTGTGCTGCAGAAAAGTGAGTCCCAAGGGCAGGAGGGAAGGAGGTGCTATCAACCCCCAAAGCTCCGCCCTGGAGGTGTGCAGGGCAAGGTTCAGCACCTCAGAACCTTCTGGTGTGATGAGGCTCTGGGGAGCTTGGGTGCTGCTCACCTGCCCTCACTTTCCCCCAGGGAACTGGGTCAGTGGGAGCTGATGGTGCCCTGGTTCAGGCACCTGCTGTGGGGATCTCATGTGTGCTCCCAAATCCTCACTCTGTGTTTGCGTGCTCAGCTATTGACTACATCCAGTTCTTGCACAAGGAGAAGAAAAAGCAGGAGGAGGAAGTTTCTACCCTCAGGAAAGATGTGATGGCCTTGAAGATCATGAAAGTGTAAGGGAAGAGCTATTGGGGTCGTGCCCTCTACTTCCTGTTGTTCCCTCCCATCCTTGTGGGGTTCTGCAGTGGTTCTCCGTCTGGGGACAGCCCTGGAGCTGGGAACCAGGAGCAGGAGCTGGTGTGGGAATTCAGAGCTGGGAGTGGCAGCTCAGTCACGTGTGGACGCCTCACTGCTGACCTTGGTGTGCCCTGCTTGTTTCAGGAACTATGAGCAGATTGTGAAAGCTCATCAGGACAATCCAAATGAGGGGAAGAACCAGATCTCTGACGAGGTGAAGTTCAATGTTTTCCAAGGCATCATGGACTCCCTGTTCCAGTCCTTCAATGCCTCAGTCTCTGTAACAAGTTTTCAGGAGCTCTCAGCGTGTGTCTTCAGCTGGATTGAGGAGCACTGCAAGCCCCAGGTGAATGCAGGGCTGCAGAGGGGCTGGTGCCATGGCTGAGGGGGCAGAGACAGTGGCACAGGGGTGGCTGTCCCTCCACAGACCAACTGACCGTGTCCTCTTTCTGCCACAGACGCTGCGGGACGTTGTCATCGGGGTCCTGCACAAGGTGAAGAGCCAGCTCTACTGAGCCTCCCGTGCCACTTCTGTGCCCGTGGGGATGGGGCACTTCTGCCAGAGGCCAGGGTGCCAGGCACCACCCTGGGCCCTCTCCCTTGTGGCTGTTTTTAAGGTTCTCTGAATTATTTATTGTATTCCTTCTGAAGCCCAACGGTGGCTGTGCAAACAGTGCTGCTCCACTCGGTGCCTCCAAATCTTTATAGGGACTGGGCAGGAGGGGAGGGAAAGGTGGGGAGCAGAGTCTCTGGCTCAGGCCATGGGGTTGCCTGTGCCACTGACTCTCCTTGCAGAGCTGATCCCAGAGCAGATCCACTCTGTGCTCTCAGGCCTGTGACAGCCCTGCTATCCCCAGGGTGGGCAAGTGTGACAAATGCATACTAAAAACCATGGGTTTCTGGTCTAGCAGTAGGAATTGCTTTTCCCTGACCCTGTGGGCTGTGCCCTGCCCCTCTGAAGCAGCTGTTTTGAGTCAGCTGTTGCATTTTGGAGGAGCCTGGCAGTGCTGGCAGCAGGATGAGCCCATCAAGAGCTGGGAGCTGTGGCCCTGGCAGCACATGCTAAGGCCCTGATGAACCCCAAGCGTGCTGCATGCGTGAGTCCCTGGGAAGGAGGAGAGGAAGTTCCTGCAAGTGCTGGAACACCTCTCCTTTTCAGAAACTGTGGCTGTATTGCACAGGAAAGTTCTGCAGCTGTAGCATGGCATGGCTGTGTGCACTTGCTGCTCCTTCTTAGAGCTTTTATACACACACACATACATGACCAGTCTTGATTTGATTTTTATTATTGTAAATTTTGGAATGGTCCCACAGTGCTGCCTGTGCCAGCTGTAGAAGCAGCTGCTATCAGGGACATGTTTGACCCTGTCCCATGCCCAGTTTGGGTCACAGCTCTGCTGGGCACTGTCCAGAGTGATGGGACCAGGGTGCTGCCAGCAGCAGGATTTTTTCTCCATAACCATGTTTGTGCTCCTGCTCCAGGGGCACATCCAGGGAATGTTTATTTCAGGCAGTTTTTCCAGCACTGAGGAGGGAGCGCTGCCTCCTGCTTGGGAAGAAGAAGTGGAATTTTACAGACCTCCCACGTGAAAGTGATGTATTTTTCTATTGTGAAAAGTAATTGAATAAATTTTACTGAATGTTTTAATGATTTTTCCGATGCTGAGTTCCTGGAGCTGTGCCCTAGAGCTGGTGGTTTCCAGAAGCCCATTCCAGCCCCTGTGGCTCACGTTGCTCTCTCCTGGCTCCTGCCCTCCCCACTCCTCAGGGCCTAAACCCTGCCCTGACACCCTCTGAAGAGACAAACACCACAGGGATGTGCAGCTGAACCAAAATCCTGGTGTTTAATGGATCATATTCTCATGTGACCACTCAGGCATGCAGCAGGAAGCAGCTAGAACACAGACAGAGCTCTGCAGCCCAGAGAATCCCTCGCTGCCTTTCCTTACCAGAACACCAGGGACACAGCACCAGTGCCCCCACGTGTCCCCTCAGCCTCATCAGACCCCAGCCAGGCAGCTCGGTGCACTAGGGGCAGGAAAAAACAACATTCCACTGCAAGGAGAGGGCCAGTGCCAAATTACTCCTACCCACCACCCTTCCAACTGCAAAACATTTTAAAACAAACTCAAATACACAGGACAAATCCCAGTCCTGCAAAACCAGAAAAAGAACAACCCAACAGCCGAGTTTCAGAGGCAGCTCTGCAGCAGCTCCCCAGAACAAAGGCTCCCCCAGCACCTCACGTGGTCGCTGGCAGCACGACGCCGTGGTCCTCATCTGTCTCTATCCCAACCTCCTCCTGCACGGCACCGAGCAGATCAGAACAGGCTCAGGGTCTGGCTCAGCTCTGGGCACGACCCAGCCTCGGTACTTACAAAGAATTGCTTCTTGCTCTTGGGGTAGCCCTCCAGGATGGCATCCAGCAGCTCGGTGGCCTGGCGAGACAGGGCACGTGAGGGCTGTGGGCAGCAGTCCCAGCGGGGCATCACTGCCCACCCGCAGCACAGCCCGTACCATCCGCTTCCTCCGGCGCCACTCCCGGCGGTACAGCTGCTGCTCCCGGCACACCTGCCAACAGCACCGGGTCAGAGCCGCCCCGCGGGGCTCTCAGCAGCCCCGGGCAAGCAATGCCTGTAAGGGAAGTGCTGGATCCTGGATCCACACTGGCCCCGGGCTCAGCAGCTGTTCACCTTCTCTTTTTCCTCTGGAGTCACATGGTTGGTAGCAGATTTAATCCTCTCCAGTTTCTCCGCGTAACTGGCACAGTCCTTCCTCAGGGCCTCGATCTCCCTGGCAATCTCAGGGGTTGTCATGGAGCTGTTCAAGTCCTTCAGCTCTAGGAAGGTGGCACCAATCACAGGCCGGGCTGCGACCCGGCACCAGGGCACGGCTGCCCGTGCCCTCGGGGATCCCGGGGTGGCTCGGGGCTGCCCGGCCAGGCACACTCACCCGTTTCCATGTGCCGGCAGCTCTGCTGCAGCGCTTGCAGCTGGCCGGAGCGGGCGGCGATCTCCCCGTCCAGCCCGCGGAGCTCCGCATCGCTGGCGGCCGGGAGCTGCTCCTGCGGGGAGCGGCGGGTCAGCGCCGCGGGGCAAGCGGGGCCAGCGGGCGGCGGCGGCGGCCGGGGCTCACCTGGTCAGCGAAGTAGATCTTCTGCTTCCCGTAGACCTTCTCACGCACGCTGCCCTGCTGCGCCAGCTGCTCCAGCGCCTTCACCACGGCCTGCGGGACGCGGCGTCAGCCGGGCCCGGGCCCGCCCCGCCCCAGCCCGGCCCGGCCCCGCTCACCGCCTTGCCCAGCCCGTGTTCCCGCTGCAGGTTCCCGAAGGCATCCTGGGCGCTGTACGGGCGGTTCTGCTCCCGCAGGTACCGCAGCAGGACAGCGGTGGCGCCTCCTGCGGGACCAGCCCCGGTCACCGCGGCCTCCTGGGGCCGCAGAGGCCGCCCGGTGCTCCCCCGCCACTCCCGCACTCACCGCCGGCCGCGGCCTCCCGCCCTTTGCTCATCCCGCGGCCCCGGGCCTCCCGCCCCGCTCCCTTCCCGGTTGGCGCCGTTCACGCACTTCCGGCGCGCCGCCCGCTCCCCGCCAATCGCGGCAAGGGCGGGGCAGACCGTGATGGGCGGGGGGAACGTGCGCCGCCCGGTACCGGCCCGCCCTCGCGGAAACGGGCCCGCGCACAGCCCGCGGCGGGAGCGGCCCCGGGGCAGGCACGAAACGACCGGGACCGGCGCTCCCGCTCCCGCCGCGGCAGCCACCAGCCCCCCCCCCCCCCACAGCCGCGCCGCGCCCTCGCGGAAACGGGCCCGCGCACAGCCCGCGGCGGCAGCCACCAGCTCCCCCCCCCCCGCCAGCTCCGCATCGGACTCGGCCAGCGAAGGGGCTCCAACCCGTTACCGACCTCCCCTTCCCGGCTGAGGCCGCCCCCCCGCCCCCAGCCCCAGCACGGCCGACGCGGTCGGATAAGCAGAGTCAGACAAACAGCAGCCAGTAACGGGTCCCTGACGAGGTACGTTCTTGGCTGCACAAATGTGATCAGAACCGCGTCTATATGGCTTAGGAAAAGTAACGGGGGCACTCGGTGGGCAGAGGGGGGCTGGCTCTCCCTGGGGTCTGCTGGTTTGTTCACAGGACCGCGGCAGGCACGAGCTCCTCAGTCACTGCTGGTCTGGGCTGCTGTCCCTGTGCGGTCCCAGTGCTGGGCTCTGCCTGCACAAGGCTGGAGGCAGCAAGGGCCCAGGGGACACAGCACCGCCCTGTCAGCCCTGCTCCACCTCCTCCTTCCTCCAGGAAAACTGCACGGCCTCGGCCCTGCCCACGGGAATGCACTGGAGCAGCACAGGGGTTTCTAGCAAAGTGTTAGTTGGCTGTTAACAAAGGCTGTTAGTTCAGAAAAGCAACACAAAGCAGGGGCTACACGTGGATGTTCTTGTAGGTGGTCTGATGGTCACAGCAGGTGTCTTATTGCCATTGAGCTCTTACAAAACAGCATCACGAGGAGCTGGAGCCGAGGGAGCAGCCAGTGCAAGGAAAACATTGCGGCTGCACAACATCCACAGTGGAGCAAGGGGCTTGGTTCCACCTGGAGTTGAATATTGCTGGGAGAGAAGACTTGGATTTGTGCACATACTAGGATCAGGGAACAGCTGTCTGAGATAGAACAGCATTGAGTCCCAGACACGATGTCTGAGGGGCTCTGTCCTGTTCCCCTGGTTACACACCAGTGCCAGAACTCAGTGCACAATTGTTCCTGGCGATGCTGTCAGTCCCACTGGACTTGAGAGCTGCAAACACCAGATTTATTGTCTTAGAGAAAGTTTGGAGCAGGCAGCATCATGTCAGACAGTGCAGAGTGATTGTGGAGCTATCCCATCAACGTCTCTTCCCTACAGATTGCCAGTGTTCTTTATTTTAAGATCCAAGCGAGGCTACGAGTCACAAGTCACAGTGGTGTACCCAGCCAGGACTGGCTGTCACATCACCCAGACCCACAGGAGACGACTGAGAGAACTGTGCAAAGCTTTTCCTTCTAGGATTCACTCCATGATGCGCAATAGAAAACCAGGGAAGTGACAGGGTGGTTTACTGGCCCCGGGAGCCAGTGGGATCCAGCTGGTTCAGCTCGGACTGATCCAGCAGTTCAAAGTCATCCCCTTCAGCGTCAGTGTCCAAGTCCAAACTGGCTGCTCTGAGGTGAGTCTTTGCCCCTCTCTGGGGATTGGTGCTGCGTGAGGAGCCTGACTGAGAGCCTCCTGACAGTGCCAGCTGGATCATGCCCCTGGTGACAAAGCCAGCGATGTTGTTGGTGAGATTCTGCACCGATGGCAGTGTGCCAAATTCCTCCTGCTCATGTGGGAGCTGCAGATCCTCTGTCCCTTGTGGGCGGTACGCCAGGCTCGGGATCCCAATGCTGGTGTCATCTTCATCATCTATGCCAGTTGCTTCTGGGTTTATGGAAGGGAAGTCAGGGAGATCCCTGGCAAAAGATTCTTCTGGGTCACTGTGACCATCCAGGTCTGCAAGAGGAGAAAGTGCTTTAATTGCCAGTAGTCACCAGCACCCACAGGCCCAGGCAGGAGCTGGGCCAGCAGCTCCCCTGGACAGACTGTTGGGAGCTCACAGACCACACTCTCTTCAACATCTCCCTCCCCTCACCCCAAGTGTTCAGATCCCTCTGACCTCCCAGCTCACTCACAAGGAACACGGGTGCTGAAGCAGCCACCTGTGAGAGGGGAGCAGCAGCACCCACAGCCAGACTGGCAGAGCCTGATCTGCCTGTGCAGAGCTGCTGCCCTCGCTCAAGCACCACAGGAATGAAGGAGGAAGTTCAGTTCTGAACAAAACAGGCAGTTGCAGCTCATTTCCAGCAGCAAGGCTGACATCAAACAGCCAGACTTCAATGATGGGAGGTAACACATCCTGCCTCCGACCCATCACACTAGCACCTGCTTGGCATTCCAAACCTTCCAGAAGCTGTTTCCTCTCACCTTCTGATCCCTCTGTCAGGGGTGTCTGGCCCCTTGAAAGGTTAAACATCCCATTTTCAGTATAGGAAACCTCAGCATCTGAATGCTCAGAGTCGGAGATGGTCAGTTCCTTGGCAACCACGGAGTCATCCAGCTTTGAAATAGAAGATAAAATTGAAAACATCAGCACTGGAAAGGTTATCCCCATGCCTCAAGACAAAACAGATGATGGAGTGGCCTCCAGCTAAACCTAGACCCCATGGGAGACTGGTACCTGAGACTCATTCACATTTATTGCACAGGCTAGGAGACTGCAGCTGGCACAAGCAGCTTTGGACATTCTTTAATGGAACAGAGTGGGAAAGACCTATCTGAAAGGACAGTGTCCTCATCTGCTCTCCTATCACCCTCAGCTGTGCTGCCAGATGTGCTGCTCACATCTCAGCCAGATGCTGCATGTCCCTGCAGTGAGGTTTGTCCTTTCCAGCTGAGCTCTTCCCTCTCCCAGAGGCTCTGTTACCTTGGGGCAGAATGCAGCCAGCTCCTCTTCGCTGTCACTCCCATCATCCGTGGCTTCCTGACCAAGGGCCCGGCCACGCACTGTTAGAAACCAGAACAAAGCTGTTACTGCTGCTGGGGCAAGGCTCTGTGCAGGACCAGAAAACCCCAGACTGCACATAACAGAGCAGAGCTCTGTTGCACAGCAGAGCCACGATCATTTCTGACTGCGGCTGTCACAGGTTTTTTGCTGAAATGAACATGTTTAGAACTCCCTCGCACAGAGCCTTTCCTCCTTTTTCCAGAACAGAGAACACACAGTTCTGACAGCCAAGAACTGGAGCAGCTCAGTGCTGTGAAAAGCCCACAGCAGCTGCTTCCTAGGAGATGGCTGCAGAGGCGAAACTGCCTCTCTCTTTTCCCAAAGCAGTTCCAAGAATTTGCCATGGCAGACATGCAGCCCCCACTGCCCGCCAAGGCCAGAGCCTCTGCTCACAGCCCATTCCAGGGATCAAAGATCAAGGTGTGAAACCTTGGGGGCAGAAAGGGCACAGGACTCACGCTGCCTCTGGCGCTGCCTGGCTGTCACGTATCCCCGGACGCTGAAGTCCAGCCGCTGCAGCACGGGCTCCAGCCTGTGGTACATGCGCTGGCCCAGCCTGTGGTACACGGCCAGGGGCCACAGCAGGACCAGGAGCACTGCAGGGAGTGAAATGCAGGTTAGGAGGTTGCTCAGGATGCTGCTTGGCAAACATCCTGATGTTTTGTGATGCAGCACAACACACAGAGCACGGTGGATCTGAGCACTGAGGGCAGTGCTGTGGGAGGTTGTTGGAACAGGTGCCATCACCTCTGCCAATTTAACAAAATTGACAGGCCAACCTGTTGGTGCTCAGATCTGTAGTTACTAAGCACTCAAACACCTTCTCTCCAGACCAGACTTTGAGTCCTGGTCAAGAACCACCACATTCCTGGCAGAAAGTATTGTTTTAAATTTTCAAGCCATTCACACAAGCTTTCCTTCTGAGCCCCATCCTTTGGACATTCGGCACCCACTCATCTCCTTTCACATGTAAGTCTGTGTTGGCACAGATATTTACTTACACAGCGAGTATGAGAGCAAGAGCCCAGGGATGTACTGGCCCAGGACAGCCAGGAAAGTGAACACTCCACACACTAGAAGGCAAAACTGAAGACATGAGAGACAGTGAGTTTCCAGGGTTAAGCAGTAGGTCCACTCACTTCTTGACCATGTCAGCCTCTGCAAATCCTGGGTCAAGTCATTGTTCCAAGGAGGGTGAAGCCTTCACAGTGTCCAACCACCTGCTCCAGCGTGGGCACAGACACAGGGGTGTCTGCCCTCAGAGCCACAGGCAGCTGAGGCCTCCTGCCTCAGGGCAAGAGGAGCTTCCCAAAGCAGGGACACCAACAGCGAGGAAGAGGCTAAACTAAAGAGCTCTTCAAGGTGAAGAGGACAAGGGCAGTATCACCGTGCTACAGGTTTCTCTTCCCATAAACTCAAAAAAAGAAGAAAGAAAAAACTTGACACACTTTCTCAAACTGTTAAAACCCAGTGAGGAGACAAATTTGACAGACACTTGAAAAGCCAGAAACCTACAGACGGAGCAGCCACGCTCTCACTTCAGTGGTGCAATCCACACACTGACATTCACTTTCTCCTCCCTCCTCCACAACCTAATCTGATTATTCTGCCTGGGCTTTCCATTCCTTCCCACCACATAATAGGCACAGTGTTGTGGGAGACCTCCCATGACAACCTCCCATCCAGGAATGTGTTCAGCCAGTGCTGGATGCCAGCACAGGAGGATCCTCGTGGTCAGCAGAGGCTCCACACCAAACAGGTTATTTTCTGAACTGCACATTCTTACCTTGCCAGGACTTTGCCTCTTGAAAACGAAGAGATTACTTAAGAAGTTGGTCCCAGTCACCCATCCTTCAGCCAAATGATGACAGAGCTCTGGCAGTCCGAGCAGCCGAGGGTGGACGTATCCCCAGCTGCAGTGAAGGCAGAATTTGGGAAGATATTGCTGCATCAGTGTCAGCCTTGTTACAAATACTTGTCTTAAAGCTTCCTTCTGTTCCCACCCAGCACAGAGCTCTAGAGATGAGGGTCACTTGCCCTCCAAGCAGTGCCCTGCCCAAAGCAGTTCATCTACAGCCCCTCTAGCAGCATCCCAGTGCTCCCACAGCAGCTGACGAGCAGGAATTTCAGTCAATGCCCTGGACCAGTTTCCATGCTGCTGGAGGGAGTGCACAGTGCAGAGGCAAATCAAGTGAATCCATTTACTTTTTCTGTGTTTATCTGGTCAACTGCAGCCTCCAAGTGTTCAGCATGAGGTCTAGAAGCAGCCTTGCTCCTCACTTCATGTACTCAGTTACTCTGGAGGCCTTGAACTGGTCAGTTGTTAGTGTTGCCTAACTGCTAGTCAGGAGTACCTGAAGGTTAGAAAGAGCAATTCCTTTTGTGCTTGGGCCTCTTAAAAAAGAAATTAATAAAGACAATTGTCCTTTGGCAGCAGCTCAGGTGATTTAATCAGGAACTGACATCCAGCACAGCCTGGCAGTGGGGCAGGAAGGTGTGCCCAGAGAGGCAGGTGTGAGCAGTGAGGCAACACCTCAGCATTTCTCAACCCATAATTAATGCAGCAGTCAGATCATAACTATGCAGAAACAACTGCTGGAACAAGCCTGTTAAATATTCCCTATCAAGTCTCAGAAGACTTCATTAATTCCCACAGAAATGCTGTTTTCCTGCTACTGGAGACCCATACAAGAGAAATTGCTCCTAAGGCAGCACCTCTAACTTCAGGGGGCAGGGAATCAAGCAAGCATAACTGGAGGCTGGTATGAAAGCAAAGTACAATAAAATGGCATGGGAAAGAAAACCTTCTCATGACCACCTGACTGCATCTGGGTCTCCATCTGCCCTCTGCTGAGCAGCTCCCAGGTCCCTCCTCCCTTCTCCCCCTCCTCCTCACCCGAAGGAGCCAACATCCCAAGCATGTGCAGGTAACAACACAGTATCACAGCAAAGTATCACAGCAGAGCAGTCAATTAGTTTCCTACCTCTCATTGTCTAATTCATCAGGTCTTGCCACTAAAATATTAAGAACAGACACTACATTAGTTGCAAGGAATTTGCCATGGGAATGCTTAGCTCTTGGGATTTAAGTAAAGCTTTAATAAGCTGGGGAACACCTGGAAAAGACATTAACTGTAATTACAGGATGGAGAAGCATCACTCCATAACAAATCTTGAGTGTGTACGTGTGACAGTACAGGACTGCAAGAGTCTCCCTGCTGCTCCTTGGTGTTTGTTGGACTCTAGAAGCTGCCCACTTCCCTCTCCCCCACTCCCTGCACACACCAGCTGGGGAGGAGGAACAGCCTGCAGACTGGAAGCATCAGGAATTTAAATCCTTTGATACCTTCCCACACAGGCTGGGACTTGAAAGAGATGTCCCAGCCACTCTGAGAGATCAAATCAGAGGGATGGAGGAGCTGGACAGACACTGTCTCCTAGGAAGGAGCCTGAGCCAAGCTTTGAAACCAAGGAAAGCTTTAATGTCTTCCCAGGAACTGCAAAGAACATGGATTGAAGCAGAAAGCTGGGAGCTGAACTTGCTGGTTAGTCAGGGAACCAGCCCTGGGAACATGCAGACCCTGACACTGCTCCAAACTAACCTGTCCATGCAAAGCCAAGGGACCCCAGCTGCTTGGAATGGGGGTGTTCATCAGTGTATTAATGTCACAAAGGAGGGATACAACTGCTTTGGTTACTGAAAGCTGAAAACTAACTTCATTACAGCTCTTCAGATGCCTCTTCTCCCAAAGACATCTCTGCTCAGCAGCAAGGCTGGGACTTGTCTTCATCCTAAACTGATTATGGATTCTGAGGGGGATTCCAGATGAGTTCCACATATGCTTCTATTTCTCACCCTGGTACTGAATGCTCACAAAGTGAATCACTGTGTCCAACCTGCACTAGGTCACGTACATCCTGTGGTTCAGGATTACAAGACAAATACCAGTGTCACAAGCATAAAAAGAACTTGTGTTTACACAGATCAGAATATCCCAGCTCCAGAAAGAGCATGCCTGAAGTACTTCTGCTGGCTTCTAGACCCTTAAAGCAAAAAGTTGAGCTTTTAACAATGTAACTGCAGGCAGTGCAGAGCCTGTACTTGTGGGGCTGGAAACTCGGCTTGATTTGCTGCTATGAGCTCAAAATGCAACTTACCACCAATTTCTGGCCAGATTTTGTGCTTCCACTGGTCTAGACACACTACTACTATGAGGGTTAAAGCAATCAGGAACAGCAAACGAAGGGAAGTCAGAGCAAAGAACCTATGGGGAAGAAACCAATGAGTCGGTACCGGCCAGATCTTTGTGAGACAAAAAGGAGTAACACAAACCAACCTCAAACTATTTACTCAGGGAGAAAACTCAGCACCTGCTACTCAGTCACCACGCAGCGTGCCCCGGGGGCATCTGCTGGGTGACTCGGTTTGCTCGTGTCAGTTCTCCCGGGACAGCCCTGCTGTACAGCTCCTGTCCCGGGCAAGCTGCCCTCCCTCCCCTGCCACAGAGCAGGCTGAGTTTGATGCTCTCAGGTACAAGGAGAGCACGGGGACGGGGCTGCAGCAGACCCAGCGCTGCCGGTCCCTCCTGTCCGGAACGGGGCACGGAGCAAACCCGCGGTCCCTCACAGACCGCTCCTCCTCAAGCCCCCCGACCCCCGCAGCTCCAGCGATCGGGGCTCAGCGCCACCCGGTCCCTATCCCGATCCCGGTCCCGGTTCCGAACCCGATCCCGGTCCCAGCCCCGCCGCTCACCAGAACAGGCCGTGCACCGCCACCCAGCACAGCGCGCTGCGGCCCGGCCGCTCCCACACCAGCGCGGCCTGCAGGGCGCCCAGCAGTGGCTCGTAGGGCCCGAGGCGGCAGCGCAGCGCCGCGCTCAGCGCCTGCACCCGCCGCTGCCGCTCGCCGGGCCCGGGCCCCACCGCCGTTGCCGCCGCCGCCATCGCTCCCTCACGGCGTCAACATCCGCCCGCCAGCTGCGCGCGCGCGGCCGCTGCAAGCATGGCGGCCCCCAGCAACCGACTGCAACTGCACTCTGCGCGCCGCCATCTTGGCGCATGCGCTGCCCGCACCTCCTGCCGGGACGCACGCGCGTTGCTAGGGCGCCGCCGCGGGCGGAGGGGCGCGGCGCTGCCCCGGAAGCGAGCAGTGCGCACGCGCACTGCCGTTGGCGCCGGCGGGAGACGCGGCGGTACCGGAGCCGGGCGGGGCGCGGAGCGGAGCGGAGCCTCGGCCGCGATGCCGCGGGAGATCATCACCCTGCAGCTGGGCCAGTGCGGCAACCAGAGTGAGCGCGCCACGGCCGTGGCGGGCCCGGGGGAGCGCGCACCGGGCGCGGTCGGGATGCTGTGGGGGGGGCAGTTAGCGGGGCCTGGCGGGACGGGACGGGGCGGGGCTTCAAGCGAGAGGGGCGGGGCCTGCGGACCGGGGCGCTCCGGGCCTTGCCCCGGTCCGGCCCCGGTACCGATCCCGCTGCCCGGTCCGTCTGACCGCGCCTCCCCGCAGTCGGGTTCGAGTTCTGGAAGCAGCTCTGCGCCGAGCACGGCATCAGCCCCGAGGGCATCGTGGAAGAGTTCGCCACCGAGGGCACCGACCGCAAGGACGTCTTCTTTTACCAGGTACCGGCGGCCCCGGGCCGGGGAGCGGGCACACGGCGCGAAGCGAGCTGCCCCGGTCCCCGCGGGGCTCCGTGCCCCCGCAGGTGCAGCTCCCTGTCTGTGCCCCCTGCCCAGCCCCTGCGGCCCGCGGGGCGGGCGCTGCCGGTGCCGGTGGGAGCGGCGGCTCAGCCCCGGCTCCTGCCTGCAGCCCGCTCCGGGCTCCCGCCTGCGCTCCCGCTGTGTTTGTGGAGCTCTGGGGGCGGAGCAGAGGCACGAGGCTGTGGCTGCCATAGATAGTGCGTTATGTAAGCACCGAGGGTTCCTCCCCTGCCGCGCTGGGAGCGCTCTGGGGCACAGACGCTGCACTGAGCACGGGCTGCACAGGAGCAGCCTCCCTTGCCAAGCCCGGCCGTGTGGGGCTCAGCTGCAGCCAGGGGTGGCTCATGCTCTGGCAGTGGAAGTGGCACCGAGCTGCAGCAGCATGGGGATCCTCTTGCTGTGGTTGTAGGCAGATGATGAGCACTACATCCCCCGGGCCGTGCTGCTGGACCTGGAGCCCCGTGTCATCCACTCCATCCTCAACTCCCCTTACGCCAACCTTTACAACCCAGAAAACATCTACCTGTCTGAGCATGGAGGGGGAGCTGGCAACAACTGGGCCAGTGGCTTCTCGCAGGTACCAGCCCTAGTGCTGCTGGGTGAGACTCCTCAGCCCTGGGGCTTTGTCCTGTGTCCCTGCCCTGTGTGGCACCCCGGGCACAGGACCACGCTGCCAGTCTGACTCAGCTTCACACTGAGCTTGAGCAGCTCTTGTCCATGTTCTGTGGGAAAGGAGCAAAACCAGTCCTGATCTCTCTTGCAGGGAGAAAAGATCCACGAAGATATTTTTGACATAATAGACAGAGAGGCTGATGGGAGTGACAGCTTGGAAGTAAGTAAACAAGGGATTTGGATCTGGTGGCCCTGGCTGGTGTTTTCCCAGCTGCGTTGCTCTTTGTAAGGTTGAGCTCAGCACTCTGGTGGGCACAGACTAGCTCAGTGAGCTTCTGAGCAGAGAACATGTAGAGAGGGGATCTGGGGACAGGAGATCTGTCCATCCCCACTCCCCCTGCCAGCCTGCCCCAGAAGTTCTTCCACTGTTTGCTTGTGGGGCATTTTTCTTTATGCTCTCCATGTGAACCCATACCCTGTGTGCAGACAGACAGGGCTGCCAGGTGTTCATGTCAGGTTGTGACGTGGCAGCAGGGGAAGGGAGAACATCACTAAAAGAAGCTGGCAGGAGATTCAAGTGCCTGTTGTGGGAGCTGAGCATGTGGGAGCTGCCCTGGAGTCAGGCAGTGGGAGCTTGGCCTCAGTCATTCTGGGAGGAGGGAGGGGTGTGAAGGACCCAGGAAAGGGCTGAGAACGTGCAGTCCCATTTCCTGTGACCAACTGGACCCTGGAGGTGACATTGGAGCTGTTCCAGTCCTGTTCTGGGTGGGAGGAACCTGAATGCTCTCCAGCAGCTGTTGCACTTTGTGGGGTGTGCAGAGATGTGGATCCCAGAGTGTGGGCAGGAGTGCCCTGAGGAGCTGGGGTCAGTCTCTGCTGCATCCATGCTACGAGGAGCTCTGGCCCTGTCTGGCAGGTCTCTGCTGGAGGTAGCAGGGGTGACACATTGTCTGCCTGCTCTGGGGCTGAGCTTCACCTTCAGCTCCTGCTGCTTCCTTCCAGGGGTTTGTGCTTTGCCACTCCATTGCTGGTGGAACAGGCTCTGGGCTGGGCTCGTACCTCCTGGAGAGACTGAATGACAGGTGAGACAGCCCTGTCCCCTTCCCACACCGCAGAGCTGGCCCAGCCTGGGCAGCCTGCCTGGAGCTGGAGAGCGCTGACTCAGAGCCACCACCCCCACCCAAACACTGCCTTGTGCAATCCCTGGCATGCTGCCTGCAGAAGGCTGGCTCCTGATACGCCTGGGGACTTCAGAGGCTCTGAAACTGGACTTGGTCTGTCCAAGCTCTGTCTTCCCTCAGCCATTCTTATCAGTCAGCTGCCTGCGGACACCCTGACAGTGCAGGGGAGGGTGGGAGGCTCTGGCTGAAGGCTGTGAGCTGCCATCCTGGCCTGTTTCAGCTTGCATCCTCTTGAAAATACTTGTGAGCAGCTGCTTAATCAGCCTGTGGATGGCTCAGCCTCCCTGTAGCTCCTCTGGCAGCCAGCTCCTGTGCTGCTGGGGTAGGCATTGCTGGGACACATTCTCTCCCTCCCTGGGAGCCACTCTGGCTGCAGCTTTGGTGACTCACCCTGTCCTGAGCCCTGGAGACTGCTTAGGCAGCTTGTGGGAGGGGAGAGTGCAGCTTGATGGTGTTAACCCTTGAGATGTTGCACTTCTCACTAGGTATCCCAAGAAACTGGTGGAGACCTACTCAGTGTTCCCAAACCAGGATGAGATGAGCGATGTTGTCGTCCAGCCGTACAACTCCCTGCTGACACTGAAGAGGCTGACCCAGAATGCTGACTGTGTGGTAAGAGGCCTGTGGTGCAGCCAGCCCTGAGGAGATGGCCCTGTCCCCACAGCTCAGAATTGCAGCCCATCCTGGGGCCAGCACCGTGTGCCAGCAAGCCCCAGGTGCAGCAATGAGTGTGCCCTGAACAGAAGGACCAAGCAGATGTGGCCCCAGGGACCCTCACTGGTGCTAACCCCTGCAGAGCTGCCTGGCATTTCTGCCTTGGGTCCAGCAGATCTTCCCGAGGCAGTGAGGACTGGCTGTGCTTCCTCTGTGTAGCTGTGCTGCAGCCCCTGCCTCAATGCAACTCCTGTGTCATTTGCAGCACCCACAGCATCCCCAGCCAGGCAGCACCTTCAGCCTGCACCGGGGCCTTTGGTCACATCTGACCAGACACTGGGGCTGCTCCCTGCATGTGGCAGTGCAGGAGCAGTTGCATTGGAGCTGCTGCAAGTGCCAGTGCTGGCCCAGGGGCAGAGCTCTTTGGGAGAGCACGGGGAGCACAGCCAGGAGGGAGGGACGAGGTTCCATTGACGGTGTCAGTTACGTGCCACGCATGAGTCAGCTTGTGGTTTCAAGTGTCTGCCACTTGTGCAGAGGGCTCCTCTCAGGAGCCTGTACTGGACCACCAGTGCCCTGGGACACATGGCCAGGACTGGCCTTCCTCAGCTGCCTCAGGGGCCCTTCACAGAGCCAGGTTTCTCTTGCAGGTGGTTCTGGACAACACAGCCTTGAATCGGATCGCGACAGACCGGCTGCACATTCAGAACCCATCATTCTCACAGATCAACCAGCTGGTGAGAAGGACTTTTCCCTCAGGAAAAACCAGAATAGGGTTTCCCTGCTGTGTTCAGTTTAATCTGAACCAGCTTCGTGGGCTGGGCTCAGGGGTGGGCAGCCTGGAGCTGTGAGTGAGGGCCCTGTGTCCTTCCAGGTGCCCCAGCTTCCCTTGGCATGTCAGCATGAGGCAGATTTTGACACTCTGTGACCCTCTGATCATCCTGTCCTCTCCCCTAGGTGTCCACCATCATGTCTGCCAGCACCACCACGCTCAGGTATCCTGGATACATGAACAACGACCTCATTGGGCTGATTGCCTCTCTGATCCCCACGCCCAGGCTGCACTTCCTCATGACGGGCTACACGCCGCTCACCACCGACCAGTCGGTAAGGCAGGCTCTCCTCCCCATCCCCAGGGGCAGAGAAGCTGCCACGCTCACCTTGCAGCATCCGTCAGCCCCGTGTCTCTGTGAGCTGTCACTGCACGTCCCAAATCCCAGGCCCACGTGCTCATGCCACATGACTGCAGCATGTGCAATGAATCAGACCTGAGCAGGCAGTTGTGCTTGTGCCAGGCTACCTGCTGCATGCATCAGGGTGGCTGTCGAGATCATCAGGGTCTGGACTGGCAAAAGCCACCCTTAGCAGTGATGAGAGCAAGGCCAGGAGAGTGGCTTTGCCAGTCCTGCCACCCCCATGAGCCATCAGCTTCAGCAATTTGTGTCCAAACACTAATGCTTATTGTCACTGATGGTGGGCTACAGGTGTCAGCCATTTCTTGAAGCTCAGTCTGTGTCTGAGAGTGAATTTGCCACCCTTCTGCACTTCAAGTGCAGCTTCTTGTGTTTGGCTGGTCCCTAACCAGTGTCCCCAGCCCCCTGCTGCCAGTGGGGCAGTTCTGTTTTGGGAGGTGCTCACCTGCGCTGACCCACCACGGCCCGGAAGGAACTAACAGCTGCTCTTCTCCTCTCCCTGTGTGCATTTCCTCAGGATGTTTCTCAGAGAAGCAAATCTGAAAAACTGCTGGCTCTGAAAAGGGTATCACTGTGTGATTTGTCCTCTGAGAGAGGAGTGTGGGCAGGGCTCAACCAGTGCAGGAGGGGGCTGCCAGCTCACCCAGCTGTCCCTGCTGTGGGCAGCCTGGGTGCTGGCCCTGGCTGTGCCCCCGCTGGCCAGCAGCAGCACTCAGGGAGGGCAGTGGCCAGGC